GGGGAGGGAGCTACCTGCTGTTGCCGTTGGGTATCGACGGCGGACGGTGTGTACAGGCGGTGACCGTTGGGACCGTTATATGTAAAGAGGACTGAAATATATGTGTCTCAAAACATATGGGACCGTTGGGACCGTTGTATATAATGGGTCACAAAACCATTTGACCGAAATATATGTGTCTCATTTTACATCACAAGTTGATTTTTTTTCTTCTTAAACTCCATGCACAAAGTTCACATAAATTGAAACGGAGATAGTATTAAATTTAATCTTATTAGAATATGTCATGAACTGTCAAATTTAAAACGAATGTATATATGTCACAACAATAATTGAACGATTAAATAAATTCTTTGATCAGAACTAAAGATATTCACGAATAGAGAAGCCTTGTTTTAAGCTTATTAGTCAATGAGAGATTGCATGTGTATTTACTTGTAATCTTTTTGTGTGATATAATACTATCTTCTATACTGTTAGTACAAAAAGAAATTTCTCGTTGAAATTTCAAACATTTTCCAAAAGATCTTTTTCCAAAACCTAATCCAATATTCCAAGAGGAGCAAAAATTAGTTTCCTATAAAAGAAAAGAAATACCCATACCCCTCCTAAGGAAATAAAATAAAAAAGCAATAGCTGCGCACGCACAACTAGAGCGCGAATCACTCTTTCCACATTCCCCAAGATTCAACAACTCCTCTCTACTAAAATCCTCCACAACTGGGTCTGACTGTTTGAGTTGGGTTCCCTAACACTCAATTGTATGATCATTTTGCTCCGTCTCTTTCATCTCTTTCCCAATTTGTGTCACATATTTCCTTTTGATTCACCTTTTACTTTTTCTTTTTCTTTCATGACTACACTAGCTAACATTTACGGCCATGATTTTATTGTTAAAGTGCTGAAATAATTCTAACTTTAATCTTCGCCTACTTTATTAACAGCGACTAGTAGGGAAAAAAAATACAGCCTGTCATATACTTTTAATCCCCAGTTCTTAAAAGTTAGTTAGTGTTATTATTTTTGCAAATGGGTTCTGGGTAGACAAGAACCAATTTTGAAAAGTTGATATTGACTTTCACTTCCGTGTATAACAACTATACTCCATTTGTTATTTGATGCAGTTGTTGGTGCCAATCCTCACACAACAGTTTTGGTGGGTGAACTTGATTATGTTGGAGTTAAAACAAGTGCGCTAACCAAATTGGACCCATTTGACTTATGAAGTATTCTTTGGATTTAGGAAGCAGGTAGGAAGGGAATTCAAAGAGAGAGAGAGAGAGAGAGAGAGAGAGAGAGTTAATGGCTAGTCCAACAACAGAGGACCACCCTCCTCACATTGGAATTGACGGTATAAATGAGGAAACTCAACAGATTTCTGAAAAGGATATTGTTTTAGAGAAAGGAGGAGAGAAAGATATGGCTCCTTTGCCTGGGAGCTCATCAATTCATCGGTCATCTTCTCGCCCACAGCTAGATGTTAGTGGTGCTGCAATTCAGGGCAATTTTGAGGAGAAGGATCCCACTATTCTGTTGCCTAATCAGTCTGATGATATTTCCCATCTGGCTCTGGATATTGGTGGTAAAATTTCCTCCTCTTTATTCTTTTATAACCTATGATAACATGAAACTTGGATAAAACAATTGGTTTTACCACTGATAGTATTGTGGTTAACTCTTGGGGTGTCGTCAAATTTGACTTGCTGAGTTTGATGTGCGATATGATTAACTGAATTATTTTGGTTCTGGCTTGATCTTTTCTGTGGATTTTGTTAATCCAGGCTCTCTTATCAAGCTGGTTTACTTTTCAAGACATGCCGACCGACAGGTGGATGACAGGAGAAAAAGAAAAGTTAAGGAGAGATTGGGTGTTTCTAATGGCAGCAGGAGAAGTTATCCTATCCTCGGAGGGAGGCTTCATTTTGTGAAATTTGAGACATCAAAACTTAATGAGTGCTTAGATTTTATATATTCCAAGCAACTTCACCGTGGTGGTATAGTTCTTTCAATTGTCCATAATTTCAAATTGCTAATTTTGTAAATGCACTATATTTCCCTGTGATCTTCAATTGTTCTTGATCAGAAGCACTTGCATTGGCAAGAGCACAGATAACTGTCTTTACATTTGTTGATAATCTTGTTGGCTAGGGATGGATTCACGATGTTGGCCTTCTGATGCCCCACAAAGTGAAAATGCAGTAATTAAGGTAAACATCATACTTGTCAAATTGTGTGACAACCTCATCTAAAAGTTTAAATCACGAGACAGAAGTAACTTTTATTGGTTTAGTTATTTAATAGCACACTCTCTCACGTCTGCAGGGGAGATTTTTTTATTTTTTTTGAATGGTATATTATTCTTTGGGCAAAACACATGAAGATGCTTCTTTGATAATGATCACAGTGAGATTTAAACTTAGGACATTTGTTTTCTCTAATATGATGATGAGTTTTGTGACCAGCTTATCTAAAAACTTAAATTGTTAGAGGGTCACTTTTGTTTATTTATTTATTTACTATGTATCAATGTTGTTGAGCCAGGATGCCTACTTCCCATTTTAATTCGATCAAAGTTGAGTTATATGGAGGAAGAAGCAAATAGGCTTGAAGAATGTTCTCAAACTAAATGTCAAAGAAAAGAGAGATAACGAAAAACTAAAGAATTAGGTCACTGAGAATCTAATTAAGTCAGTTGGTTTTGTTAGAGCATACTATGCCCTGAGATCTTTATGTAATGAGACATTGATTCTATATACCCCCGTACAAGCATATTTAGATCAGTTTTATTGAACAAACTAGCTTTCGTAATTGTACCCTTTTTTTTTTGCCAAACAGTAGCTCTTATCTTACATTGATAGTAGCTTCTTCTTTTTCTTGTTTGTGGGTGGGTGGGTGGAGGGGGGTTAGGGTGCATGGATGTGTCACAAAATCTCAATCTCAATTTCTTTGCCTGTTAAACTGTAGACTCTTAGACAAAGAGCAGAAGACGTAA